AAGAGTGGCTAGATGAGTATCCACTCGTAGAGTCGGGAGCACTGCAGGGGAGCCCATTTGAGGAAATGAGCACTTCAGTTCTGATTGCTTCTTCTTTCCCACAGCTCAAGTGCTCCAACGACAGCTTCTCTGTCATCGCTGACTACTTCGGCCGAGGCGTTTTCAACAAACTGACCCTGCTCACTGACCCTCCCACGGCCAGGCTGGCTGGAAGCTTGGAGTCTGGGCTGCAGCGGGACCTGCTCGTGCACTCCAGGAGGGGCACTTGAACAGCTGGAGGGCAAGAGGGGGGTGATAATGGAGGCCCAGCAGCAGGGATACAGGACTGAGGCAGAGCTAATGCCCAGGAGTCAGGCGGGCAGGCCCCGGCCTCTGCTGTGACAGCCTTCAGGACTGAAGGGGATTTTTTTCCTGTCTTCTCTTTGGCCAGCCCACTGTTTTTCCTGTTAACTTTCTGAGCAAAGTTGATTATTCAAACCCTGGGGGAGGGCACCTCAACAACCTCCGAGTATAGGCAATAGCTGCTTTATTCTCCATCCAAGAGCACTAGTCTGTGCTTGGGTCCTTGCTCCCAGAGTCTATAGATAAATGATTTCAGCCCTGGCCCGTGTGACTCGGTTGGGTGTCATCCATACACAGAAAGGTTGCTGGTTGGATTCCCAGTCAGGGCACATGCCTGGTTTGGGGTTCATTCCCCAGTAGGGGGCGTGCAAGAGGCAGCCTATCAGTGTTGCTCTCATTACTGTTTCCCTCCCTCTCTAAAAAAGCATTTAAAAAGTGTTTTTTAAAAACTGATTTCGGGGTTGATAAAGTTATTCTGGGGACTTGCTGATTCTTTACTGTAGAATTACTTCTCTTCCTCTGCATTCCTAGAGCTCCATGACCCACTTCCTTCACAGACCGCCTTAAAGATCTTGGTTTGGCTTCGTTCGGTGAATGGGCGGGGCCTGTGGCATCTGGTAGGGTCCCGCTTACTGAAGAGCCGCCGCAAAATTCCAAAGACTGAGGCCCCCCAAAGAGTTCTGCTCTGTAGTCTGGCTCTGGTTCTTTGGACAAAATACTTAGGTGGGAAGCAGGTTCTGGTAAGAGCCTTGGGCCTAAGTCTGCCTTCACGGAAGGTACTCGGTATCAGAGGATAAGCAGGATAAAAAGGTCTGCAAAGGGGAGCAGGGGGTTCATCTGGGCTCTCAGCCACTGACCATCAGCGTTGCGCGCAGAACTGTGGAGGTGGAGGTAGAAAGGAGCAGGCGGGAGGCTGGGTTTCAAACCAGGAAGACGGGCAAGGAAATCGCCGTCGGCCTCAGCTGGACCGAGTAGGGGCGGCACCGCAATGGCCCGGTCTCTGTCGCAATCCTAATTCCCGCCCAGGGCAGGCACCGCCCCTCTGAGGGCGGGCGCCGGTAGTGACGTAGCCGGGCCAAGTCGGCGCCGCGGA